ACACAATACAATCAGTTCCATGTAGCTAGATTTTTTCTTCGACTTTCATGAGTTATATTTGATACTTCTGCGCAGCGCGATCTGTACGTGTTTTACATGTACAAAACCAATCCAGGCACATACCGTGCACGGTACACTGCGGCCTGTTACACGCGTACCGCAGCGTAGGCCTACATCTTGTCCAGTACATACATGTATACCCGTACAGGTACATAGACATTTTCATGTGGTTCATAGTAATGTAAAACTGGGGATATATACCGTGAATTTAAACATTCAAGCAGAGTGTCTTCACGTCTTGCGTCATTATTTTTGCAGTATGTAAACAATTGATTTTTAAGGTTTTTGCATGCTTTGCAATATTAATCAGAAACATGGCAACTGAATATAGCTTGTTCATTGCATTTAGCGTAGAGGCGTTATACGATCGCCTTCGGCGCTATACGATCTTTGGACGTGACCACCCAAACCCATTTCCCTTCTTCGATGTTGATGTGCCATGGAGCATAGTTGTAACGTAGGTGAAGCACCTTTGTGAAGGCGCATGTTTTGTGAATAAAGTGTGGCCCTGTATCAAGTGTATCTGTACCCCCTTGTTACTGTCCCCGTACGTCGAGGCTGTTGTGCTGCGGACCAGTCGGTAAACTGCCGCTAAAACGGATCGGCGTCACTGGCCTTAAAGGCTAGACCGCTCGCTGACGTGGGCTGGCCCGACCGGGTAGCAGACTCCCAAAGACGAGACTGCATGCCACAGTATTGTTGCCGTGACTGACTACACAAGTAGGCCTACGCCTCGCATTGGATTTTGTGTCATCGTACGAATGTCCATCGCGATTTTATTCGAATATCAGCAAAAACACAAAACAAAACCAAAAAACATGGAATATACTTGTGTTCAGCCGTTTACAGAAACAGAAACTCGGTTGAAATTAAGGTTCAACGTTCAGCCACCAAATGACACCAAACAGCGCTAAAGACTGGTTCCGAATGACTGAATTTCATTCGAAAGGTATCACTTATGTCACGTTCATACGTGGGGTGGTGATACACTACGGTGGTGGGGTACGCCTAAGTTTTAAGTTGGGGATTGATATCTGCGGCGATTAAGATACTCATAAAGATCAAGAATTGGCACAAAGAATTATTCTCACTGTATATTAGAGTTGATTTATTTCTATTTGAAATCAAGTTGAGAAATTTACGACGGCCGCAATATTAAGATTGAGAAGATTTACACAATACGGGCGATTCACATAGTGCGCCTCCAAGAGTTTGCAACGCATTGGCCAATCGCAACGCGCGAAATTTGTAGACCCTCTCCAAACGCGCATTGGGTCGACAAATTTCGCGCATTGTGATTGGCCAACGCGTTGCAAACTCTCAGGGGCGCACTCTTGTGAAACGCCCGTATTGTAGACACTAATAAATGGAGTTGACAATGATATGGATTGATTAACCAGTAATGGAAAAAAAAACTTATGCTATGTGATAATTGCAAGAATAAAAAGTTTGTTGGCAAAGGGATAAAAGCATAATTAAAGGCTAAATTATAGGCTAAGAGGTAGAAGGGCAAAAGGGGACTGTGCAACCTGCTCTCTCTCTCTCTCTCTACAGAGTTCAACTGTGTAAAGACCACACAATGGAACAAATCAAAGACATGTAATAGTCGTTCAGTCCAAACATAAAACAGTCGTTATGCTTCGTACAAGGTACAAGTCATATGGCCAAACTTTCCAAAAAACTTTTACGACAACGTGACAAGCAAAATCAGTCCAAATGACGAATTTTTTACCTGACTTGAAGCCCACATTTGGGACACGTGTACTACGAGACAAATCTGACAACGCAAACAGGCCAGAACTGTACATAACGATAAATGAACGGTAAAAGTTGCAAAAACTTTAGGACAAAAATGAACTTACGTTCTGACAGAATAAGCTCCTGCTAGAGAGGTATGGAATGCCAAAGCGGAATTTATTCAAAACAGTTATTGAAGGCCAAGAAAAACAAAATCATCCGAGACCAATTTATTTTACTGCAAGACACAAAGAATCTTATGCAAGACCGAAAATATTCGGTCTAGGAAAAAAAAATCAAGCAAGATTTAATTTCAAGCAAGATCTAAAGAATAAAATTCGCCTGCAAGATAAAAATTTTCACCCAAGACCAAAATTTTCACCCAAGACCAAATTTTTCGTGCAACATGCACGTGACCATTTGACTGGTAACCCCTCCTTCATTGAATGTGACATCGCGCATATCATGTAGTGAACCAATGGACCTTCATGAAATATGCAAATTCACTGGCGCATGCGCGCTCTGGTTGGCAAGCGCAGCCGAACACTGTCGGCACCGGCAGTGTAGGCACGGACCCTCTGAGTAGAGGGTCCGTGGAGTAGGCGAGCTGCCAGCCTGTAGCGTTGAGGTCAATCAAAACTCATATTACAAATCATATTACAGCCTTTGCCCGATTTTTTTCTCCACACTAAGTGAATTTGTCAGGTACTAAAATATTAGTACCGAATTGGTATTGTTACGTCGTAGATTTAAGTAACTTTGCCAACCAGTCGTGGTAATGCGCATGCACTTGCTATTTGCATTTGGCGGACATAGTGCATGTGACTAGCCAGAAGCAACAGTCATAATTATAAAGGATCAATGACCACCACAATGCACATGCACAAGAAGTGCATCACTACTTTGAACGCGTAGTGCACGAGCATAGAAACGACAAGGCTGGACTACACTTTGCTTGCGCAATCTTAAGGATCGGAACACAGACGTGGCCCACGGAATCGAAGTTGGAGGATGAAGATCTGAGATGGGAACCAGTCCATTAGGCCTGAGGTCATGTATGGTCACATGCATGTAGCACAAAACATTTGGTTTGGGGCGAAAATTTTGGTCTTGGGTGAAAATTTTGGTCTTGCACAAAAAAAAATGATCTTGCGTGTTAAAACTTTTTATCTTGCACAAAAATTTCTGTCTTATACAAAAAATTTGGTCTTGCATGAAATATAAGTCTTGCATGAAAATTTTGATCTTGCATAAAATGTTGGTCTTGCATGAACTTTTGGTCTTGCATGAAAAGTTTGGTCTTTTACACAAATTTTGATCTTGCGTGAAATTAAATCTTGCTTGATTTTTATTTTCTTGACCGAATATTTTCGGTCTTGCATTAAATCCTTTGTGTCTTGCAGTAAAATAAATTATTCTTGGATGATTTTGTGTTTTCTTGGCCTTCAATAACTGTTTTCAATTAATTCCGTTTTGGCATTCCATAGAGAGAGAGGCAGATCATTTTGTCACGTACGGCACGGCGAAGTACGTCGCGTAAGCATACAAGAATACGTTCATGTCTGGTATGAACGTATGGACTAAAACCCGTTGTTGCAGACTAATATTGATGAGGATACGATTTACTTGTGATTATGACCATGGAAAACCACTGGGGCGACTCTATACGGATAAGACGACGATCTGAATATAATGTCGGGACTATGTTGAACGAGTAGGAACACTTTAGGTTTGTGAGAAAGTGCGTGGTGTGGAAAACTGAGCGAACCCTAGACATGACAAAATCTGACCACCACACGTTTATATAAGGTCCAGATACCAGACAGTGTAAGTTACTTGGTGGAAATAAAACAGCGTTGTCTACACGTTTCACAAAGTGACCTATCTCAATGTGTCAGTCTTTGAAATAGTAATTTTAAGTTTTGGAGAGGAAGGTCAACATTTTTAATTTACCCAGTGTAATATCCCGACTACCGAAGGACCTAATTCCAAGTTATGGAAAGTAACTCTGTTCCTTAACCTCTTGAACTTTACCTTTTAACCCTGCTACTTCTGGGACTGTGGATTACTTTCTTTCGGTGTATCACAAATGCTACGTGTGCATTTTCTGTTAGTCTTGCACTTGGTTTCCAGAGCCTCACATGAAGAAGATTAAATCGGTGTTCCTCCAACTCAAATATTGCGTGTATCTTGCCCAGTTCATTACACCCAAATTAATTAACTAGCTATTCAGAGCACTTATAATTTTGAAATTTTCAGAAAATAAAGATTTCATCATGCATAACAAGAACATGCAAAAAAAAACCCAATTCGTCAACAACTGAACTTCTTCACTAATAAATTCATAATTATTCACGCATGCGCACAAATGGCCTTGGCGGCAAGAAGTGTGAGTGGGCCGTTGAAAATATACAGGGTGAGACTTCGATGATCATTTTCACTCAAGTTTTCAGACGTAGTTCATTTTTGTTTTAAGAAAATCTCATTAAATCGTTTTCGCTAATAGTTTTTAAGTGGAATTTTTAGTGCTCTGTTAAAAAAAATTAATTAAATCATTATTTTTCCTGCGCGCACGAGATCATCGTTTCTTATTATGACCCCCTTCCATCTTAAGCACTATAAACTACATTGTTCGTGTTCTTGGAGCCAACCAGCGCATTTGTGAAACACATCAAAGGCAGATTAATTTACAATGCACGCGTTAATATGAGAAACTGTGAAAGAAAAACACAAAGGTGGAATATACAAGATATTGTTCGGCTTTATGTCTTTAATTAACTTGGGTTGAGTGTCACAGAAAGTGATGTCAACAATTCGCCAGGTTCCAAGAGAAAAAACATTTAAACGCTGGTATTCTTTTGACCGCGACAGCAGGGCTGCGGTATGCCCAGTATGCTAAGCCCTGTGCAGCAGCAGGCCCGCATTGAAACCCCCGGTGCATGATGGATAGAAAGTATGTGGACATGGTATGCACTGATCCTCACACAGAGCTGCGGCTGTAGCCGTCTACCGCTGTACCGGCTTTAAGGGGGTCTTAGGGGAGCAAAAAATATTGAATTTTATTTCTGTAACTTTTTCTGGCCTTTTTGACCGGTGAGGCTAGATTTGGGGGCTTTTTTAACAAGCTTTGAAGGAAAGGCAAAAAGGAAATAATTTTCATAATTTTCAAACAAAGTACTAGGAGTCCCTCATGTGTTCCAAACATCATATCCCACATCACAGCAGTCAATACCGTTAATATATATGAGCCCAAACATTCGCTGCAGAAACCTACACAAATATCGACTTTCAATCAAAATGCATACGACAGTTTACAAACATATTAGAATGGATATCGAAAATTGTTATTATCTAATGAAGTGCTGCTTTGAGTTACGCACTATAATGATTATCTTATTGTTCCACGTTGCGTAACCGCCATCGCGTGTCTCTTTGCAGAGAGATTAATGTTGTTGACTGTTTTTATTCCAAATTATGTCTCAACCAATCGGATGTAAAAGTAGATAAAATTACAGTAGCTTTGGAAAATTATTAGATATTGTTTTATAACCATTCACCTTATCAGTGGTTTTGAATTGGAACCAAAAAGTACCATTATTTATGAAATAGTTAAGAAAACACATGATCGTAGGGATGTTTTAAGACGCGATAATAACTGAAAGAAAATATGCATTTCTGACAGAACCCTTATACCTATAATGTACTCAATTCCCCTTGTTATCTAAAATTTTGTTAAATACCTGTCGAAATAACCATTGCCCCTGTTTAAAAAAGTTTTCAACTGAACTGTCATCAGATAGAATAGCATTGTTGTTCAGGTATATCGAGGCAAAATCGTCCAGTCAGCTGGTACGTGTACCCTGAAAAAGAAACGATAATTAGACATGGAATTATTCGGAGTTTGAGAACATGCACTGATTTTAAAATCAATACTTTTGGGTGTTATCAGATAACCACGTCATAGGGTGTTACTTTAACACCGCTGGTGTTACTTTGCACACCTATAAGTGTTACAATGCACCGGAGGATGTTGAACGTAACACAAAAAAACACCAAAATTTTTATCACCGATGAAAAGTGTTGGCGTAGTCCTCTAATAACATCGGGGGTGCTAAATTTAACACCCCAGTTTTTGCAGTGTGTCAAAATAAGCGTCACACTTATTTTGTTCAAATAAACATTTTCTGAACAAAGCAACAACGAATTCTTTGTTGGTTGTTTAGTTTACTGCTTGCTGTTTTTTATGGATTCCATATCTGCCGTCGTGCGTCGTCCGTCGTGCGTCGCCCGTCGTGCGTCGTCCGTCGTGCGTCGTCCGTCGTGCGTCGTCCGTCGTGTGTCGCCCGTGGTTTTTTGTCACGATTGCGAAGTGGTATTTTTAACTTTGACCCTTGATTGTTTCACATGTACATGTCCTTGTTCGATCGATCCACCATGCCTGACTCTCATTTTAGCAATAGAACCAGAAGATGTACATGTATTCGTTTTTGCAGTTGCGCCAAACTCCAATTGAAAGAAGAAATAATATCCTGATATCGGTTAAGTAACATGTATATGAAATAATACCATTTTGGTTACATAAATAAATTAACAAAATAGACTTTTGTTAGGGTAGATTGTTTTTCTCGATAACTTAGTTACTCTAGACGTAACTTTACTCGTTAACAACCTGACTTTAGGTCTATAGCCTATGTAATATGTAATATTTCTGTCTGTCCCTGCACGATATCCCACAGAACGGAATGTAAATAATAGATTATTTACAATGTTTGATTCCTTAATAGTTTTCATAAGAGACGAACTGATTCAACATTATTTTGAGGGCGGGTATACCTTTGATGAAATCTGCTGTATACTCCAAATTAGACATGATTTTAGTTGCAGGTTGGC